CGACCCCTTCTACACTGCCATATAAAATCCAGATTATATTATTTGAATTGGATTATATGGCAATGCGGGCTCATATAATCTAGTTCAAAGCAGATAATATGGATTATCTAATTTGATAATCTGGATTATACGGCACTGTAGAAGGGGCCCGAGTCTACATTGCCAGGTAATCTTGGATACACAGATAATCTAGGATGAGATCCTGGTATGAAGGGCAGTGTAGATCCATCCTCAGGCCCCCTTGTACACTGCCATATAATCCAGGTTATCAATTCACATAATCCACATTATCTGCTTTGAACTGGATTATATGATTCTGTACTGCCATATAATCCAGTTCAAAGCAGATAATCTGGATTTTATATGGCAATGTACAAGGAACCTCAGTCAGAGCTAATGGGAGTAGTCTAGTGCGGTGTAGTCTAATGCCATGGTATTCCCTGTAGTAACCTACGGATGTGAGAGCTGGACCTTAGGGAAGGCTGAGCGAAGGAAGATAGATGCTTTTGAGCTGTGGTGCTGGTGGAAAGTTCTGAGAGTGCCTTGGACTGCGAGAAGATCCAATCAGTCCATCCTCCAGGAAATAAAGCCCGACTGCTCACTGGAGGGAAGGATACTAGAGACAAAGTTGAAGTACTTTGGCCACATCATGAGGAGACAGCAAAGCCTAGAGAAGACAATTATGCTGGGGAAAGCGGAAGGTAAAAGGAAGAGGGGCCGACCAAGGGCAAAATGGATGGATGGCATCCTTGAAGTGACTGGACTGACCTTGAAGGAGCTGGGGGTGGTGACGGCCGACAGGGAGCTCTGACGTGGGCTGGTCCATGAGGTCACGAAGAGTCGGAGACGACTGAACGAATGAACAACAACAGTGCGGTGTTACCCAATCTAGGCCCATCCAGAAATGTCAGACTAATTTCCATTATCCCCACTTATCATGACCACTGGGGATTATGAGTGGTGCAATGCAAATAACATCAAGGTTCCTGAAGGCTACTAAAGTGATTCTAGTCTCATTCGGGCCCATGTTCTATAAACAATGGCAAAATTTCAGAGTTTCTCTTGCCACTGGTTAAGTATTGGGGAGATGTTTATGCATATATATGATTGGACACGAGCAAAGATACTTTGTGGGCAGAGGGCTATTTTCTGCTAAACACACACAAATTCACACAAATGTGATTCAAATACAGAAAAATATAATACAGGACATCTTCAGGTAAGAAAGGATTTAGTGTTATGGTGAAAACATTTTGAAATATAAAACACTAGTCATTGCTAATCTCTGCGATTCATTCTGGGCGCTCTTGTTTATGCTTCTTAACATCTCAGCATGTCAGAACATTCTGTCCACTTCTCACCATTTCCTCCCCCCTCCTCCACACACACTTAATTAAGCCTTTCTGTATTAAATGTAATCATTTGAGAGGAAGCCCAGTCCTGCTTGATGTATCCATCTGTTAGAGAGATATGCAACTAGCTCTAATGAACAAAATACTGTGATTGTACATGAGTGGTGTTGGAGGAAAGTTCTGAGAGTGCCTTGGACCGCCAGAAGATCCAACCAGTCCATACTTCAGGAAATAAAGCCCAACTGCTCATTGAAGGGAAGGATAGTACAGGCAAAAATGAAGTACTTTGGCCACATCATGAGAAGACAGGAAAGCTTAGAGAGGACAATTATGCTGGGGAAAACGGAAGGAAAAAGGAAGAGGGGCCGACCAAGGGCAAGATGGATGGATTATTTATTTATTTATTTATTTATTTACTTCATTTGTTGACCGCCGCTCTCAGCCCTGGGGCAACTCGCGGCGGTGTACAACATGTAAAAAACAGTCTACAAAACATACAGTATATCAACAATCAAAATTGCACATTAATCTAATCACACTAAAAATCCGCGCCATCACATATAGAATCAATAGCCAATCTCATAGTCCGTAGTCCGTTCCAAGTGTCATTGCCAGATTCATGTGGCTCTCAATTAAATGCCTTCTCGAATAGCCAGGTCTTTAGGCTCCTACGAAAAGCCATGAGGGAGGGCGCCTGTCTGATGTCGACAGGGAGGGCGTTCCACAGCCGGGGGGCCACCACTGAGAAGGCCCTCTCTCTCGTCCCCGCCAGGCGTGCCTGTGAGGCGGGCGGGATCGAGAGAAGGGCCTCCCCAGATGATCTCAAGGCCCTCGTGGGCTCATAGGCCGAGATGCGGTCTGAAAGGTATTTTGGGCCGGAACCGTTTAGGGCTTTGTAGGATAACACCAGCACCTTGAATTGGGCCCGGTAGCAAATCGGCAGCCAGTGGAGCTGGGCCAACAAGGGCGTTGTATGCTCCCTGCGTCCCGCTCCCGTTAGTAACATGGCTGCCGCGCGCTGGACTAGCTGAAGCTTCCGGGCCGTCTTCAAGGGCAGCCCCACGTAGAGAGCGTTGCAGTAGTCAAGGCGGGATGTTACCAGAGCGTGTACCACCGTGGCCAAGTCAGACTTCCCAAGGTACGGGCGCAGCTGGCGCACGAGCCTAAGCTGTGCAAATGCTCCCCTGGTCACCCCTGAAACCTGGGAATCCAGGCTCAAAGATGAATCCAGGGTCACACCCAAGCTGCGAACCTGCGCCTTCAAGGGGAGTGCGACCCCGTCCAGCACAGGCTGTAACCCTATACCCTGTTCGGCCTTGCGACTGACCAGAAGTACCTCTGTCTTGTCTGGATTTAATTTCAGTTTGTTCGCCCTCATCCAGACCATTACAGCGGCCAGGCACCGGTTCAGGACCTCGACAGCCTCCTTAGTAGCAGGTGGGAAGGAGTGACAGAGTTGGACATCATCTGCGTACAGATGACACCGCACCCCGAAACTCCGGATGATCTCACCCAGCGGCTTCATGTAGATATTAAACAGCATGGGGGACAGGATAGAACCCTGTGGAACCCCACAGGTCAAAGGCTGTGGTGTTGAACAGGAGTCCCCCAATAACACCTTCTGGGTACGACCCTCCAGAAATGACTGGAGCCACTGCAGAACAGTGCCCCCAAGACCCATTTCCGCAAGGCGCCCCAGAAGGATACCGTGGTCGACGGTATCGAAGGCCGCTGAGAGGTCCAGGAGCACCAACAGGGACACACTCCCCCTGTCTAGCTCCCGGCGCAGATCATCCACTAAGGCGACCAAGACCGTCTCGGTACCATGTCCCGGTCTGAAACCAGACTGTGCCGGATCCAGAATATCCGTGTCTCTCAAGAATACCTGGAGTTGTGAGGCCACCACGCTTTCCATGACTTTGCCCAAAAAGGGGAGATTGGAAACAGGCCGAAAGTTGTCGAATTTAGTGGGGTCCAATGATGGTTTCTTCAACAGCGGTTTTATAATTGCTTGTTTTAAGCACGCTGGAATCTTGCCTTCCCGAAGGGAGGCATTAACCACCACCGTTACCCACTCAGCCAATCCCCCTCTGGCCTCTTTCAGAAGCCAGGATGGGCAGGGGTCTAGGATGGACGTGGTAGGCCTCATTCCTCCAAGTACCTTGTCCACATCCTCGGGTTTCACAAACTGAAAAGAATCCATCAAAATAGGACAAGCAGGTGCTCGTGTCACATCCACAGAGACTGCATTTAACATGGTGTCCAGCTCAGAACGGATCAAAGCGACTTTGTCTGCAAAGAACCGAGCAAATGCTTCACAGCGCGTGACCGAATTGTCAGGGCTCCCGCCTGAAGTGGCGGGAGTTAAAAGACCTCTGACAATCCGGAACAACTCCGTCGGACGGTTCTTAGCAGACGCAATAGAAGCTGCAAAGAAGATTTTCTTTGCAGCTTTTATTGCCGCGGCGTATGCCCTTAAAAAGGACACGACCGTGTTCGATTTGACTCGCTCGGATCCGAACGCCACACGCTCTCTAGTTCCCTCTTCATTCGCTTCATCACTGCCAGCTCCTCAGTAAACCAAGGAGCTGGTTTAGCTCGGCTACTTGAGAGGGGACGTTCCGGAGCGATCGTGTCAATTGCCCTGGTCATCTCCCCATTCCAGAGAGCGACCAAGGCCTCGACATGATCACCTACCGCGGAGGCGGGAAAATCCCCAAGAGCCGTCAGGAATCCGTTCGGATCCATAAGCCTCCTGGGGCGGACCATCTTAATGGGTCCTCCACCCTTGCAGAGGTTAGGGGGTGCAGTGAGCCTAAATCTGATCAGGAAGTGGTCAGTCCATGGCAACAGAGAGATAGACAACTCCTCCACACCGCCACCCTGCTCCCATCCCTGGCAGAAAACCAAGTCCAATGTGTGTCCAGCACAATGGGTGGGGCCAGATATTTGTTGGGACAGCCCCATGGTTGCCATGGCAGACATGAAGTCCTGAGCCGCTCCTGTGAGGGTCGCCTCGGCATGGATATTGAAGTCCCCCAGCACCAAAAGCCGTTGAGACTCCAACGCCAGGCTCGAGACTACCCCCGCTAGCTCAGGTAGGGAGACTGTAGTGCAGCGAGGTGGACGGTACACTAACAGAATCCCTATTCTGTCCCGGTCACCCACCCTCAGGTGGACGCATTCAAAATTTGTGGTCTGCGGGATGGGGCTCCTGGTCAGATGGATGGAATCTCTATAGACCACTGCTACCCCGCCTCCCCGTCCTCCGGATCTTGGTTGGTGCTGTACGGAGAAACCTGGAGGGCAAAGCTGGGTCAGATTCACTCCCCCAGCTTCATCCAACCAGGTCTCCGTAATGCACGCCAGATCTGCCCGCTCGTCCAGGATTAAATCCTGGATAAAGGTCGTTTTTCCGTTGACAGATCTGGCGTTCAGCAGCACCACCTTCAATCCAGAGGGCCCGCTCACCTGGTTACACCAATTTACCTTAGGAGACCGATTTGGGATTACTAATTTTGATAAGCGGTCCGAATTAAGCCGAATTCGAGGTCTCCTTTTTCCGCATCTCCTCCTTCCCACCACGACCTCTATGGGGGCCCCTCGGCTAGTGGAACACCTCCCCCCCTCCATGCCGCGGTCCCAAATTCAGAAAACTGCTGGAGCACTAGGCCTTTCTGGCAGTCTAGGTGACCTTTGTGGGTAGATGGTGCACCCAGCAATTGCGTCCCAACTGTCAGAGCCAACCGAAGACCAACCTTTCCTGAGAGCGCCTGCTGTGGACAGGTGAGGGCTGCTGGTCCCGCTGCCCGTGGCCAAGCTGACG